TATCATCAACAATCATTGTCTTTCTTACGCCTACAACCTTCTCCAATTCAAGTCCTCAGTCCACTCCCTCTCCATAAGATCTCTACCTTCCGACCTTTACATTCCTTCTCACAGATCTGCCTCGTTCCAAAACTCCTTTATTGCTCGCTCTGTTAGTTTTTGGAATTCCCTTCCTATCAAAATTCGACATTCTTCATCCCTATCTACATTCAAAACCCTATTCCAATTCCTGTCCCAAAAACAGTCAGATACCAGCTAACCTTTTATGTAAAATTACATATTATTTGTAATAATATATTCACATATAGCTCATAACTTAAATACTTATTATAGACTCGACTTTCTTTTATTTTATTTTTTTTTTCAACAGAAACACAGATTTTACTGTTAAGAAGAATTTACATTTATTTTTGTCTGTATTTTTTATTTTTTCTAAAAGGGTTTATTTATATTTTAATATTGTACATAGTTTTAAGTACATTAGTATGGTTTCAAGAGTTATGTGTATAGATTTTTTTTTTTTATTTTGTATATAGCATGTATAACTTCTTTTTTTCGATTGATTTTATTTTGGCCAGATGTAATATTTTAATTTTGTTCTATTTTATTATTCTCAAGGGACTGTGTCCCAGAATAAAGTTATTTTTCTATTTCTATTTCTATTTATAACTGATATTTTTTTTTTTTACCGATTTATCTTTATCTTAACTTTTTATGTTTGTTTTTATCTGGCCAGATGAAAAATTTGAATTTCTGTACTTTTTTTTATTCTGAAGGGACTTCGTCCCAGAATAAAATTATTTTTCTATTCTATTCTACATACATGTGATTAAAAAAAAAAACTTTTTGCCCTCTCATTTGGATTTCTTCTCTTAAAACTTGGGAGCAGTTTTAAATGGGCAGGAGAAACGTTTTCATCAAGATATAGCCCAAATGGAGAAGGAGGCATAGCGGTAAATGCAATGAGAAGATGCTCGAGCTGGCTACTGTCGTACACTTGCAACAGAAGACAGTTGATGAACAGTATAAAACAAAAAACTAAACACATTGACTAGGTATAAAGTTATATTATGTAACTTATTAGACACAGTCTACCAACTTCTTCCTGAAGTAGCTGATACTAGGGCCTACTGAAGACCTACAAAGTGGGTCGAAACGTCGGCGTAACGAATAAAATACTATTTTAATAATTTGGTATTTATTTGACCGCACCTCCGACCAAATTTCATATTATAATCATGGTCAACCATATCTACACCATTATAAATATTGTATATATTATTATTATTATTCACGCGAAAATAAATAAATAAATGAAGTAAGTAATTAAATAAGGTATTTTTTGGACTTCATCTTCGAACTCGGCACACATGAGAAAATAAAAATCAGTAAATATTCCTCAAGGGAGAGAATTTTTTTTTTCAGAAAAGTGTAATGGTAAAAGATGAAATATATTTTAACTATCATTAAAATGTGTTTAGAAAAGTGGTAAGCGTTAAGGTTCGTTTAAACATTTCACTAACTATAAGAAACAGAATTATCTAACTTAACTAATAACGACATTAGAGCTAAACCAAACTGTTTATTTTATTTCTATTGTTACAGATAGCAGATGGAAAATATAAGTAATCCAATCACGAACCAAAGCTATCCAACAAGCGGCTTGGAATTCTTCCTCATGTCTATTAAAACAATCCAGTGTGAGGAATATGAAAAATAGCGGTATCCCAGAGTCAATTGAATATTAAGAATACAAGAGAAATGAAAAACTCGTATTAAGTGGCAGCGCACACGTTATCCTTCAGATAAGTCCAAATTAATTCAGCTAACAACGAAGTTCCGCGAATAAATCAGACGATTTAAAAACGACAATTTTAATACCTACCTAAATAGTATGGATAATAAGAATACGTCTATTTGGCAGATGAGGAAACGTTTGTTGAATCATCAAGATACCTCGCATCTAATTCCATTTCCTGATGGCTCGCGGGCAAAGTCAGACGCTCAGAATTCGCATGCGTCTTAGAAAATATATTTACCTCTCACAGTGATTTGCAAGATTCGCTCAGTACAAAATTGGTAGAATATCAACTAGATATTCCTTTAGAGATGACCTCCTCCCCTCGAAGTATTATAAATGGCGTACGTAATCGTAAATCGCCTGGGTTCAATTTCATTCAACTGATTATTGTGAAGAATATACAAAAAAAAAAAAAAATAATAATAATCTTTTTATCAAACATTTTCAATTCCATTCTTAGAACGACATATTTTCCGAATTTATGGAAATATTCGATCATAACTATGGTTGGTTCACAAACCCAATAAGCCTGTAGACCGTCCTGATTCTTACCGCCCAATTAGTCTTCTGCCTTCTCTACCTATTATTATTATTAAATGGCACTACATCCCAATTATTCGAGACTTGGCCTGCTCCAGCATGGATCTCCAGTTCTCCCGGTTAGTGGCTGCAGCCTTCCAATTTCGGACACCAAGTAGTCTACATGCATCAGCAGCCACACAGTCTTGCCAGCGCAAACATGGTCTTCCCACTCGTCTGTTTCCAAACACAGGCTCATTCATAGCACTCTGCGGGGGTGCATTCATATCCATACGCGCGACATGTCCTGCCCAGCGTAGTCTTGCCAGTACGAACTTCTCTACATATAGTATTCGAAAAAAAATCTGTTTCGAAGTTTAAATTCACTTAAACTATTTGATGTCATTCCGAATTTCGAGTACGGGTTCAAACATCATTCAACGATGTTACCCCCTAGTAGATTACATATCTTTCTAGCTGGAATCAAAATTGTATTGTCCCGGTGTTTTTCTAGACATGAGTCAGGCTTTTGAAAGAATATAGCACGATAGTTTGTTAACTAAATTAAAAACGTTTATTCCACCGACATATTATTCCTCTAAAAACCAGACAGCTCCTTGTAACCTCCCTTGTATTCCCCCACTTCGACTACGGCTGCTTGGTGTATGGAGGGCTATCTGCCAGGCTGGAATTGAGACTAAAAAGACTCATGAATTGTTTCATAAGATTCATTTACGGGATCCCCAGACGTTCACATGTTTCACTATGGTACACCGAGTTGAAGTGGCTTAATCCTACTTCCCGACGACCATTCTTTCTTGGCGTTTTCCTTTTCCAAGTCTTCAGAACTAAAAACCCTCCCTACATCCTGGAACTCCTTACTCTGCGCTCCTCTATCCACTCTCTCAATACTAGGTCTCAACCTATAGACTTGTATATTCCCTCCCATAAAACTTCCTCCTTCGGCAAATCCTTCGTCATTCGTGCTGCTTCCTTATGGAACTCACTTCCTACCCCCATGCGTCAATCCTCATCCACAAATTCCTTCAAACAACTCCTGTTCCAACACCTACTCCACATTAAAACTTCCCCTAACATGTAAAATTACTTGCATCTATACAATGTTTAATTTCAATCCATTGCACAATTGAAATAAGAATTAACAATAAATAAGTTGGTATTTTTATTATGTTAGACCAAGATACATAAATTTGTAACTCTGTTATTATTCTTAGGGGACAGTAGTCCCAGAGTAAAATTATTTTTTCATTTCATTTCATTTCATATTATTTAATTTGGTTGCCATACATAAAAGATAGATTTTCTGCGTGAAAATGGGGACTGACTTTTCTGCTATCGAGCAAATAAAAACTGGAGTACCTCAAGGCAGTATCTTGGGTCCTACACTTTTCAACACTTATTGCTCAGACATTTCACCACAGCACTCAAAAACACTGTTGGCTACATTTTCTGATCACACGGCAATATTAATATCTAACAAAGATGCAGCTAAGGCTTCTTATGTACTTCAAGAACACCTAAACGACATAGCTTGTTGGGTTAAAATGGACGAGTCTAAGAGCCAATTCATTTCATTTACAATTCGTGATGATTCTTCTCCTCAAGTATCCTTTGATAATATCGCTAAATCTAAATAAAAAATCTGTCTCGTTGAACACTTATGTACTTGCGGAGCGCAGATGAGGTAATCCAATCAAGAACCAAGTCTATACAACAAGCGGCTTGAAATTCTTCCTCATGTCTATTAAAACAACCTAGTGTGAGGAATATGAAAAATAGCGGTATCCCAGAGTCAATTGAATACCAAGAATACACGAGAAATGAAAAGCTCTTATGAAGTTTCAGCGCACACGTTATCCTTCAGATAAGTCTAAATTAATTAAGTTGCGCGAGGAATCAGACGATTTAAAAATGAGAATTTTCATACCTACTTAAATAGTTTAGATAATATGAATACGTCTATTTGGCGTCAAGAGACTTCGCATCCAACTCGAATTCCTGATGGCCCGTGGGCAAAATCAGACGCTCAGAAAGCAGCATGACATGGAGCAATTTTTTTCATTGATTTTTAATTTTCGAAGTGAAAACTTCTTTAGGCGTGTTTGTCACTTTTTGTGAAGAGTGTATTAGATTGAGCCGTCAGATATCCGATGTGTAACGCTCGAATAAAGTCGGCTGGAGTCGACTGATTGTTTTTGCATGTGGATTTAAAATATCTCAGAAACTAAAAATCGGATCTGCATACTACGAGAGAAATGTTCAGAATTTCATCCCCTTTGTATTGAGCTATTCAACAATATTATTAATCTCGCCTTGTTGATGTTTTCACTTCTATCGTGTGGTCTAAAGCATATAGCTTAGTTTTTTTTATTTATAGATAACATTAAAAGTATTCTATAGCTATTAAACAAAAAAGAATATTAATAGTGGTTATATAGTTGACTGTAGAAGAAGAATAGTTGGGGTGATCAGTCAAATAAGAAGGCAAAAATAAATGATAATATTTATTTTGTCATTTGTATATATTATTCTTCTCAAAAAAGAATATTGTTTTAGAAACAGAGAAGAAAAAGTGAACTGTTTTGCATTTTCTTATTTATATAATTATTTATTTTTTAATTTAATTTGATATCCTTCGATTTAAATATTTGTTTACCAAGTTTGTGGCTAAAGAGCCTGGAAGTATCAGGCTTGAGTGGTGGGACTGCCAAGGTCCGCATACGATATATAAGCCTCCAGGAACGGTGAGTTCCCGTCAGTGCCTCAGCTGCAATCATGTCCTCAGTTCTATACTTGGTACTCCTCTTCGGGGCAGCCGTGTCTGCCAAGCACGTCCTCCGTAAGTACCTCAGTGATAATATTACAATCCTTTACGGCAAAGGATTATCTATAAGGGTAGGGTAGAGGATTGTCTATAAGGATAGGGTAAAGGACACTAGCTAATCCAGGATTCAATTTAGGGGGCCTTCAGCCCAAAAGTCTTTTTTTTACATTAATTACTAAATATCTTTATGATAATCACTTTGGAAGAAAAAGAAAGAGACTAATTACCTATATGAAATGGTGTTTAAATCAGAGTTTGAAATTAATAATTATCCTTTCCACAAAATCATGTAATAATATTTGATTTTTAATTATAAAATCATGCCTGATTTTTAAATGTATTTTTGATTTTGATTTATTCTATTTAAAAAAAGAATCAATGAGTGACACAGTTTTATATAAATTATAATGTTTGAATTATGTTAATAATTGTAAAAAAAAAAATGTTGATCAGAAAATAAAAATCATTTTTTACAAACAAATTAAATATTAATATGTATAAATACGTCATTAATGAACACATTCATTAATATTAAATTTCTGAAATCGCTTTAACTATATATATGTATACACAAATTTTTTTTGTAAGCTAAAATTTCAAATGAAATTCGGAAATTAAAATGTTCTGTTGCTAATAATTGACAAAACTATTCTCCACCAACTAATCCAAACCGAAAATATATCATAGAGATTACATTTTAAAAAGTATTACTCAAGAATTATTATTACTGTTAATTGTAAAATTTTGTTAAAAAAGTAATGATTAGAATATGATTTTTATCATTTATGATCAAAAATAAAAATCGCTCTTAATAAAAATTATGAAATAATTTTTAAAAATTCCAGATAAAAGTTTTGAACAGATTTGATTTTTTTAAATATCTTTTTCAAACCAAGGATAAAATCATCATTTTGAAAATTATCTTTTCCTTTAGGTGAGAAAGATATTCACTAAATTTCGGGATAAAAGGTGTGAGCTAAGTAATGTTTCAATCGAAAAATAACTGCTATTTCAAGTCTTTAATATAGTTTCTTTCTAGTCCTTATCAACAATAGTAGGCATTTCTTAGATATAATTTAAACTAATATAAATTTTTCTACCAATTCAACCTCATTTCAGTGGCTAACAATATATTTTGTTTTATACGTATTTATTTCGAGTCCTAATTCTTTACCGGTTTTTATCGACGTTGTTGTTTTTAGTTTTTACAGTTTCCGTATCTTCACTTAACAGTGCTAATTCATCAGCATGCCTGAGGCAAAAGTATTTTTCTACCCAGATTAAAAGTTTATTGAATACTTATCATCTTTCTAGTAACATGTTCTAGTTGTAAATTAAATATGACTGAAAGTTTATCGTCTGGTTTTAAATCCGAATTAAAAACAAATGGTGGAAAGGTTGTTAATGATTCACGTCTTTTAATGATAGGGAATTAATTTTTTTTTAAATCTCAACAAGAATAAGTGCTAAAAAGACGCAAACTTTTCGCAGAAATGCACTCTGTAGCTAACATTTTCTTTTCTATTTAAACTATAAACAAAATAAATATTTATATTGGGCTATAGTATTATAGTATACGAAATAATAGTCCGTGGAACAATACCCCTTTTTATCAAATTATTAGCATCTGCCTGAAACTTCGTAAATAAACACCGTAATCTAAAAATATTTTATTTACGAAAATTTTTGGAATTGGGGCGTTTTCGATCTGGAGGTAGGAAAACTTTATCTAATTAATTTGGTACTAAAACCTCGTAAATACCCATGACGGTGGGAGTTAATAACTTAGAAGAGGAAGGATGCCAGGAAATATTTACGGCGGTAGGAAAGATAAAGCCATTTCAACTCTTCATAGGAACAGGGGCGTCCTTTGGGATCCCGAAGATGAATCGTACAAAGCAATTTATCAAACCTTTTAGTTTCGGCTCGAGATTCCCAGAGACGCCTCCGTATACCGTCAGCAATAACCAAAGTGGGGAAATATTAGGGAGGTCACCAGGAGTCTGCTGGTTTCAAAAGGAAAAAGGTCACTATTGAAGTGTTTTAGGATGGAAAAGGTATGACGGGAGATACTGGATACATGGTTTTCCGGGAAAGGTTTTGATCAAAAATTATTCCAAGGTTTTTGATGTTGAGATAAAATTTGATTGGATTATCTTGTAGGAACAGGGTTTGAGGAGGTGATTGGAGCATATTAGGATTGCCTTAATCTTTTCCACATTCAGCTTCAGCTCCTGCCCAGTCATATATTCAATTTAAGTCTTCTTGAAGCTTTTTTGCGGCGGCTAATAGGTCAAAAGAGAGGAAGGAAAGGTATATTTGGAAGTTTCAGGCGGATGTTAATAATTTGATAAAAAAGTTGGTCTGTATCACGGACTATAAGTACGTGATATTATTTATCTATGACAATATAAAAGGACTACAAATACTTTCTTAATAAAGTCTCATTTAAATCTAGTTCTTTGTTAATTGGATTCAATTTTCGCCTCCAATCCGTGGAGAGCACTATGTGGTAGAAGAAGAGGAGATTAAAACAATTCATTTTTTTACTATTATTTATATTCACAACTGTATAAAAAAAAAATACATCTATTAAATTCGTACATGGATATAATGACATGAAACACATGTTGAGAAACTACTCATTGGTAGTACTCTAATAATATGTCTATATTAGGAGATCAGGGGACCATCTTCTTTTCAGACGCCTCGGAGGGTTATCAGAAATCGAATAAGAAGCAAGGTTAGAAACAAGCGGGTTGGGATGGTTATGAAGTTTATTATGGAAGGACAGATATCCGGATTGGGCTAAATCTGATACATAAGGTCATTGTGGATGATTTTATTTGTAACCAAGTAAGGAGCAATGAGGATTTTACGAAGGATTTTGGATTGTAAGGATTGGATACGAGAGGAATTTGAAGGTAGATTTAAACAAAATCATTTTATCAATATTGCATATTGACAAGAAATAATAACCTAACCTATACCAATCGATTGTCAATATCCGGCTACTTTCGGCATTTGTCAGGAAACTGGTAATAGCTTGCTCTGGGTGATCTTGAAACTAGCCGTTATACTGTAGTAGCGAAAGGAAACTAGTGATTTTTTATTAAAATTACTATTACCTTTACCTGTTGAACGTAAACATTTTTATAGTAAAACAGATAAAGTAACTTTCTGCTATGTTGAATAAATCATGAAAATGACACATGTCATATAATTTTATGAAATGTGTTGCATATTATACATAAAACGTGACATATACTGAAGAAAACTTTATTTACTGATCAACATAATACCAATCAGCCATGGCAGCAGCTGGGTCCGAAGAGCAACACCTTCATGAGCAATGGAATAATCAGAAGAGATAGGACAGCCGCCCCGATGTACCAGAGGTCCTTTCGCGACTTCTGTATCGTCCTCTTCGGGGAGTCGAGACCTGGAAGTACCTCCAGCCTCTCGTTGACAAGGTCGATAGCCGCGGCTTCGTCCATTCCTTGTGCCTTCAGCTCCTCCACCATCTTCTTCGCAGCCAGTCTCTTCGATTTGCGGCTCTCTGTCTCCATTTCGGCGGTTTAGCTAGCTGCCAGTATCTTGTTTATGTATTTGTGTTGATTAAACTAAGCCTTTCATTTGTGTTGGGCCATCTTGTATAAAAAAACTATTGATTTCCTTGCAAACCGCGAATTTACATTTTACTTGATTCTGTAATGATTAAATGCCCCATATGTTTTAATGATCATGTTATTTATATTGGAAAGCAATGTGACCAAAATATTAATTCAACCAATAAAAAATAAATCTTATTATTAGGTCTTAGTCTGTGGTACAAACCCCTTTAATAAAATTATTAGCATCCGCCTCATCTCATCGTAACCTACAACTATTTTATTTACGAAAACTCGTTTTCAAACTGGAAATCGGCAAACGTTGTCTATTTAATTAGGTACTAAAAACTCGTGAATACCCATTTTCTTTCCACTTGGATCGTAATATAAGCACGAAATCGAAAAAGAAGGTGGTCTACAAAAATATTGGACCATCCGGCCTATGCAACCTCGTTATTATGTGAGCTCAATATTTTTTTCTCGATTGCGTGCTCAAATTATCTTACGATTGAAGTGGAAAGTAAATGGGTATTAATGAGATTTTAGTATCTAATTAAACAGACAAACTTAGTCAATCTTCAGATTGAAAACGCAGCAATTCCAATAGTTTTCGTAAATAAAATAGTTGTATGTTACGAGGAGATGAAACTATTCACGAAGTTTTAGGCGGACGTTAGTAAAAAGGTGTACCACGGACTATTTATTCCAAGAAGAATGTTTACTACAGCTATCAGCGCATGCACAGTACGGTTTTTCGAACGAAAAAACTTGTCAAAAGATATAAGAATTATCAAATATTATTACTTTAAATTAATAAGTAGTTTTATTTTCTTATTCATTTTTTTTTCATTATTGGGAAGATTGTGGTAGAGATTAAAGCCGGATTTAGGCATTTCAAAAACACAAATAAAAATAAGAAATAGGCTGCCAAGGCATATCAATATTTCCAAAGAATCCTGAATTCGAAGCTAATGGATGTTGAGAATTGCATTTTTCTATAACCTATAATATTTTTTTAAACAAATCAAAGGATGCGAAAGAAAATTAAAGAAGGTGTTAAATTCATCAATAACATCTTAGCAACCAACAAACAGTAACCAGATGATTAAAAGCGAAACATACTAACTTAGATTTATCGTGAGAGACCGACTGCGGAAGGAAAGAGCAAATACTAAAGAAACCAAATACTAAATTTGAGAAAAAATTATGTCGAAGTCAGACATCTGTTTGTGAAATGCCAAAACGTACCTTATTATTAAGTTTTTTTCAAAACAGGTTTTGATTATCAACTATCAGAAATTGGAAATTTTATTATAAAATTAATTAATTTAATTAGGAACTGAAACTCATAAATATCAATTTGATTTCCACTTGAATGGTAAGATAATTTAATCACAAAATCGAAAAAAAAAGAAAAGCAACCTACAAAAATATTGAGCCGTTTGCCCAATACAACCTTGTTATTTTGACATGTAGTTTTTGTACTTAATGAAATAAACAAAGTTTGCCGATTCTCTAGATTTAAAACACCTCAATATCCGGAATTTTCGTAAATAAATAAGTTTTAGGTATCGATGGGATGTAGCTATTCGCGATGTTTTAGGTCGATATTAATAATTTGACAAGAAGGGATCTGCCTCACGGACATATATATATTGTACACATTATGCATACATTTTTTAAGTCCCGCTAGTAGTAGCAAGTTAGTCCCACAGCCTTGTGTAAGAACTATTTCTTAATCATACCATTGTACAGCTTCAATTTTGAGATTTCGAGAGATTTTTTCGTGATTTTAAATTTAAGCATCAGGATTTCTTTTTAATATATCTGTAACAGAAAAATCCAGAGTATATAGGAATCTTATCAAAATTGATGTTTCTGTTTTAGCTTCTTACGTGAAGACTTGCTCAAGGAATGACCCCAACCTGAGCGAGTGCGCACTGAAGAGAGGCAAGGAGATCATACCCAAGATCATAAAAGGTAATTTATATCGAAGGCATTGTTTATTTTCAATATTTTTTTTACGATCTGATATACAATCATTTGGAAAATAAGTTTTAAAAACGTTTTGATCAAGTAAAAATTTGCTCTTAATTGTTTTTCTATATACTATACTAATCAACTGTAAAATGTACTAAAAATAAGTAAAATAATCAGAAATATATTATTTTTTCATAAATTTTATCAAATAGTAAGAAAAGTCATTGAAGTATACAAAAAAAAAAATGTATGACGTCGTTCCGTTTAGGTTTTAGGCAAACAACGGCGATATAATAATTAGTAACAGAAAGAAGCTATAAAAGTTAAAATATAGAAATGAATAATGAATAGTGAATAAAAATTAAAAATTAAAAAATAATCACAAGGGGTGGGTGGGGGGTGGCTGAGTTGGCTACCTGATAAATCGAAGTTTATATAATAAAATAATCATGACTTCACGTCCCGATGACAGGGGAGCTTTAACTCTGGCATCGATACCCCGCCCTCTCACCTATTCTGGGGAAAAGCCCCTTATAGCCTAAAAACAGACGAAGGGATGTAGGAAAAAAAAAGAATAAAAATTACATTTTGTGAGTCAATTTTTATTAATTTATTTTTTAGTAGATAAAGTTCTTTTTTTTATATTACCATAATTAAAACACCATGAATGGCCCAAATATAATTTTTGATATTATACGTATCTTATTATATTTTTTTTTATTTTATTATTTTAATGGAATTTTCAACTGTATTATATAGAAAATACAATAAGTAAATGTGAAATTGCTAACATGACATGTACAACATGAAGAGAAACTACACATTGGTAGAACTCAAATTAAAGTTCTATATTAGAAAATCCCGAGGCCATCTTCTTTTCAGACGCCTCGGAGGGTTATCAGGGATCGAGGAGGAAGCAAGGTTTGAAACGAGAGGATTTGGATGGTTCTGCAGTTTGTTATGGAAGGACAGGTATCTGGATTGGGCCAAATCGGAAACATATGGAACATTAAGATCTTTATGGATGATTTTATTTGTGCAAAAGTAAGGAGCGTTGAGGATTTTGGATTGTAAGCATTGGATACGAGAGGAATTCGATGGTTTAGTGGAGCCCCAAAGCTCAATTCTGTAAGTCCAAATAGGTCTTATTATTGTCATATATACGAGTCGTTTATAATTAACTGAAACCTTAGATCGTTTGTTTAGTAAGTACTGCAGTAGTCGAAAACTTCGGGCGGTTCCTAGTCGTTTCAGTCTGGTATGGGGGTTTCAAGTGAGTCGTTTGTCAAGATGGAGTCCTAAGTATCGGATTTGTTCGACAGGGATAAGAGGGCTATTGTTGAAGGATACTGTAGGACAGGAAGTTTACGACGAAGAGTGAAGGTAATTTGATGGGATTTATTGGAATTTATTTTAATCCTCCAGTTTTGACACCATTTTTCAAGGCTTGTGATGTGTGATTGAAGAGTTTGGGATGCAATAGATGGATCGTTATTAACTGATAGGATACACGTGTCATCGGCATATATCTTACTATATATGAGTGTTTTTTCTCTCTCCTACTATCCTAAAGTTTTTAGCTCTTCTTAACCCTGATAAAGGAGTAAAACTCAGGCCGAAACGTCAGTAGAAAGAAAATAAATATTTTTTTTTATGGGTACTTGCAATGGGTAATTACACTGATTGCAATCATCAACTAACTTCTCTTTCTTAAAGTATTTACAATCAGCCATTTATATATTTTAAAATTATTTTTCCAGGAGACCCAAGTATAAGACTTCCAGTACTGGACCCGATGATGCTGGACAAAGTTGGTATCAGTACCACTGGTCGCGCCAATGGGGGAGGACTCCAGCTCACTTGCTACAAATGTAACGTCTACGGGCTCTCAAACGCAGTACTCCAGGACATCAAGTAAGTATATCCATGTGAAAGATATACGTATATATGACTTAATACCTTACGAAAGTTTTTGAGAGTAAAATAAGTTACAGTATACAATTTACAATTTTCTATTTACAATTACACAGTATACAACATACATCATTTCACTAATGCGCGAAATCGGTTTTATACCAAACATAAGCTCCTGCCTTGCCCATATGCCATGGATAGGGTACCGCTGGATTCATAATTTCACGTGGGTTAGCGAATCGTACTCTCTTGTTTTGTTTTCTATTTAAGAATAAAAAAAAGTCGATAAAAGGATGCTGTCCCTTAAGACGGTGGATCGAGACGGGATATATCATCGTCAATTCATCATCCAATGGTTGAGTCTTCAATTTGAAGATTTCCTACTCCTTTAGGTGAGAGAAATAGTCACTTCACCTCGAAATTTTAGGCAAAAAAGTTATGAAGAAAAAGAAACTTAATTTGTGAATAAATCAAAAAGTGTATTGCAAGGTTACAAACTTACCTAAAAAGCTAAACAAAAAACAAGGTATGTGCTTTAGACCACACGATAAAAGTGAAATCAACAACAAGATGAGATTAATATGAAATAAAAATAAATAATATCTCATAATAAAGAGGATGAAATGCTGAACATTTCCCTCACTTACAGTATTTAGCTCCGATTTTTATTTTCTGAGATATTTTAATCTACATATTCAATAAAACTCGTTATCATTTGATATTTGATACATTTTTTTTTTATTTTCGCCTCCCTAACACGGAGTCGCGTTAAGATACTATTTTGAATAATAGCCCATTACATAGAGGATGAAATATTGAACATTTCCCTCACTTACATTTTAGGTCTGATTATTAGTTTCTGAGATATTTTAATCCTTGTGCAAAAACACTTCAATTAGTAGACTCCAGCCGGCTTTACTCGAGTGTTACCCATTTACTCGCCACAAAACGAGTGCAAAACATTCCTAAAGATCATCGAATCGAATCTTTATTTTCAAAGATACCGCTTATTACAATTTTTAAACATAAATATAATACAATGCTAATTATTATGTCGGTTTGAAACAGAAAAGTAACGGTTAAATTAATTTCCTTTTCTTTTTATTAATTACATTTACCGATTAAAAGATAATTGACTCCTCCATCTTACGATATCATTGCATTACTTTATTTCCTGAATATTTTGATTACTATACAAATTATTCGCACAGTACCTGTATATAACTATAAAAACCATCAAACTACTTAAAATTATTATAAAAAATAGTTGTCGATTATCAAGTACATAACCTGTTTTAAATACTTAACATTTTAAGAATAATAATTTGTAGTAGATGAATTCGGATGAAGTAAATTTTTGTGACAATGAATAACTTATATTATAATTATAAAATTGTTTTAAAATTAAAATGTGGCAAAACCTACACCGATTAAGGCATTCAACACAAATAAATATATTATCTTTTAAATATTTTTTGTTGTTAGGTTTGAAAAGTTTATCAGTCCACTTATGTCTGTATAAGCTTAAAAAGTTCCCCAATGCACCGCATCTCTGCAGTATTTACGCCACTGAATACAGCTAATGCCAAACTAGACCTGGGCACTCTTGAAATAATTTATTTCTGAAATAATTCACATGGTTATTCCACGAATGAATTATTTCGGGAATAACGGTTATTTCTGAAATAATATTTCAAACAGTCAACGAAATAATCTCGAGGGAATAACTCTGAATTTATTTCCGAAATAATTATTTCACTATTTTAACATTCTTTGGAATAATGTAAATTATTTCGAAATGAGTTATTTCTGAAATAAATTATTTCATAACTATTATTTCAGGATTATTTATTTCATAAATAAATTATTGCATAAAATCAAGAAATAAATATTTCAGAAATAACATTGTTCTGAAATAACATAAAAAAATTACCAATATGCACCATGTTTTCGGGGGCGCTTTTTATGAAAATACTGTCGAATTTGAGATTGCGCCACCCCCTCCCCACCCCCCATCAACTTTTTGTAACTTTTCGGATTTAATCCATATCAGGGTCGACTATTATGTTTTCGGGGGCGCTTTTTATGAAAATACGGTCGAATTTGAGATTGCGCCCCCCCCCCACCTCTCACATCAACTTTTTGTAACTTTTCTGAAATAATCGATATCAGGGTCGAATATTATGTCTTCGGGGGTGCTAATTATAAAAATAATGTCGAATTTGATATTGCACCACCCCCTCCCCACCCCCCATCGACTTTTTGTAACTTTTCAGATATAATCGATATCAGGGTCGACTTTTATGTTTTCGGGGGCGCTTTTTATGAAAATACGGTCGAATTTGATATTGCACCACCCCCTCCCCACCCCCCATCAACTTTTTGTAACTTTTCAGATATAATCGATATCAGGGTCGAATATTATGTCTTCGGGGGTGCTTATTATAAAAATAATGTCGAATTTGATATTGCACCACCCCCTCCCCACCCCCCATCGACTTTTTGTAACTTTTCAGATATAATCGATATCAGGGTCGACTTTTATGTTTTCGGGGGCGCTTTTTATGAAAATACGGTCGAATTTGAGATTGCACCACCCCCTCCCCACCCCCATCGACTTTTTGTAACTTTTCAGATATAATCGATATCAGGGTCGACTATTATGTTTTCGGGGGCGCTTTTTATGAAAATACTGTCGAATTTGATATTGCACCACCCCCTCCCCACCCCCCATCGACTTTTTGTAACTTTTCAGATATAATCGATATCAGGGTCGACTTTTATGTTTTCGGGGGCGCTTTTTATGAAAATACTGTCGAATTTGATATTGCACCACCCCTCCCCACCCCCCATCGACTTTTTGTAACTTTTCAGATATAATCGATATCAGGGTCGACTATTATGTTTTCGGGGCGCTTTTTATGAAAATACTGTCGAATTTGATATTGCACCACCCCCTCCCCACCCCCCATCGACTTTTTGTAACTTTTCAGATATAATCGATATCAGGGTCGACTTTTATGTTTTCGGGGGCGCTTTTTATGAAAATACGGTCGAATTTGATATTGCACCACCCCCTCCCCACCCCCCATCGACTTTTTGTAACTTTTCAGATATAATCGATATCAGCGTCGACTATTATGTTTTCGGGGGCGCTTTTATGAAAATACTGTCGAATTTGATATTGCACCACCCCCTCCCCACCCCCATCGACTTTTTGTAACTTTTCAGATATAATCGATATCAGGGTCGACTTTTATGTTTTCGGGGGCGCTTTTTATGAAAATACTGTCGAATTTGATATTGCACCACCCCTCCCCACCCCCCATCGACTTTTTGTAACTTTTCAGATATAATCGATATCAGGGTCGACTATTAAGTTTCGGGGGCGCTTTTTATGAAAATACTGTCGAATTTGATATTGCACCACCCCCTCCCCACCCCCCATCGACTTTTTGTAACTTTTCAGATATAATCGATATCAGGGTCGACTATTATGTTTTCGGGGCGCTTTTTATGAAAATACTGGTCGAATTTGAGATTGCGCCACCCCCTCCCCACCCCCCATCGACTTTTTGTAACTTTTCGGATATAATCGATATCAGGGTCGACTATTATGTTTTCGGGGTAGCTTTTTATGAAAATACGGTCGAATTTGAGATTGCGCCTCTCCCTCCCCCCCCAATCGACTTTTAGTGACTTTTCCGATGTAATCGATATCAGGGTGGTCTTTTATGTTTTTGGGATATCTTTTTCAAATTCTACCGTATTTTCTTAATTAGCTACCCCGAAAACATATTAGTTGATCCTGGTATCGATTGAATCTGAAAAGATACAAAAAGCTGATGCGGGAGGGTGGAAGGGCGCAATCTCAGATCTGACATTATTTTTATAATTAGCGGCCCCGAAAACATAACAGTCGACCCTGATATCGATTATATCTGAAAAGTTACAAAAAGACCATGTGGGGTGGGGAGGGGGATGGCGCAATATCAAATTCGACAGTATTTTCATAAAAAGCGCCCCGAAACATAAAATTCGACCCTGATATCGATTATATCTGAAAAGTTACAAAAAGTCGATGCGGGGTGGGGGGTGGCGCAATATCAAATTCGACAGTATTTTTATAAAAAGCGCCCCCGAAAACATAATAGTCAACCCTGAGATCGATTATATCTGAAAAGTTACAAAAAGTCGATGCGGGGTGGGGAGGGGGTGGTGCAATATCAAATTCGACATTATTTTTATAATTAGCGCCCCCGAAACATAATAGTCGACCCTGATATCGATTATATCTGAAAAGTTACAAAACGTCCATGCGTGGTGGGGAGGGGGTGGTGCAATATCAAATTCTACAGTATTTTCATAAAAAGCGCCCCCGAAAACATAATAGTCGACCCTGATATCGATTATATCTGAAAAGTTACAAAAAGTCGATGGGGGTGGGGAGGGGGTGGTGCAATATCAAATTCGACATTATTTTTATAATTAGCGCCCCCGAAACATAATAGTCGACCCTGATATCGATTATATCTGAAAAGTTACAAAAAGTCGATGGGGGTGGGGAGGGGGTGGCGCAATATCAAATTCGACCGTATTTTCATAATAAGCTACCCCGAAAACATAACAGTCGACCCGGATATTGATTATATCTAAAAGTCGATCGGAATGATTATTTCAGATTTCACATTATTCCTGAAATAATCATTTCAGATATCGTTATTCCTGAAATAATTTATTCCCGAAATAATCATTTCGGAAATAATGGTCAGGTTATTTCATGAGATAAATTATTTCGGAAATAACTATCGAGGTTTATTTAGGGATTTATTCCGGGAATATTTTTCAAATAAATTCTGCCAAGGTCTATGCCAAACTATCGTACATTTTACACAATAAAATCAGCTGCAACAGTTGTTACTATGACTACGACTGTTGAAGTTAAAGCACTAGAGGATAGGAGTTAAATATTCCTTCAAATAATTTCAACCTAAAAGATTCCGTGTGAAAACTTCTGTTGGCAAAGACATCGTTATACCTTTCTTGGACAATTTCGTAAACACCTCTAACGATCCGAAGGTTCAAAGAGCTCGCAAGCTATCAAGGACAACCATTTGTATTGCGACTCAAACTAGGACTCTTCATGAAGAGGTTATCTCTTGTCCCAATTACATCTCCTTATTCTCTGTAGTGGTGTTTCGGTTTGTTTTTGTTTTTCTTCCGTCGATGGAATCCATTGTAAGAAGTCCTTTATTATAGGTTTTAGTTGTCTTTGAGCTCAATCTAAAGAAGAAATCAATTCTAATTTTTTAGTTATCGTCACTTGTCTATCAATTCATTCAAGTATGAGTAATTGAACCATACAAAAATGATAGTTCTATGAAAATCCGGTAGTAGACTTCAGCATTGCCTATATGTTAACTGTAGTGATCACCCAAGGTCAGTAAATTAAAATGTTTGCTTTCTTCAGTCTACAAACACGTATTGCATAGTGACGTCATTGGGCGAATCAAGAGATACCTCATTGTAGTCTAAGTTAATATGAAAAACCGTGAATAAATGATCCCTACGAAATGAGCCCATCTTAGTATTCATTTTAGTTATTGGCAAAACTGTTAATTATGAGTAGCAGTTGCAACAGCTTCTGCTACTTTAACAAAGAACAGATATAATTGTATAATTTTTTTGTGCTTGGACCATTTAGTATTTTTATGTTTTTTAATTTTTATTATTATTATTGGCCTACATGTCAATATGAAAATAAAGACTTTGAACAAGCGACTGAAAATACTATACTTACTTTTTTCCATATCAAAATTGAAAATCAGACAAAAACTAAATACATACACTTATCTACTAGAACGCATATGGACAGGACATACGTCTCACAAATTTACGGTTCTGCAAAAAAGACCAACATACAAAAATTACAATCATTTCAATCCAAAATTTTAAGACAAATAACAGCTGCTTCCTGGTACGTAAACAACAAAACTTTACATACCGACTTATGATAACCAACTATCGATCAACACATACGTACTCTCAACTCCTGATTTCATCTTAAACAACACGGACATCACAACAGACATATCAACGACATGGCCACAATGCCATGTTCATCAGGAAGTGACTAAAATGGAGCTGGATGAGAGATCTCCTTTCCTGAATTAAGGAAGTAGACTAAGACCTATAAGAAGTGCTGCTGAGTACTATTCTTCCTCATGCCTAAAATGACAATTTTATTTACAATGAAATCACATCTGCGTATTTTCAAGATTATGACAGGTTCTGTCATACTTTTTTGCTATCTTTTCATACTAGGTATATATATACAACCAGGGAGGTAAAAATCATAATAACTAGAGGGGCAGCCCCTTTCCACTTAACAGTGGACCAACCTCAGTTTTACAAAATATACAACTGTTCATTTAATTGTACTAATTGTTGCTCAAATTGTATAACTTAATTTACATGTATCCTGTATATCAGAGTGAATAGTTTTTTATCAACATAAAAGAACCATTTCCCACATAAATTTTCGGTCTAAAATCTTTATTTTTTATTAGTAGAGCAGGAGGTAACAACAGCTTAACACATATGTAATTGCATTAACAAATGAATAATTTATAAAATAATCTTCCAATAGGTTGAGCTCCTGCCATCTCCTACTATCCTAATACTAAAATAAAATAGAATATGACAGTCACTAAAAATTATTTCATATAATAGAGAGATAATTCACATTTCCCTGTGGTTAAAACAGTTTTAAGGCATAGTAGTGCTGCTTTTGGAATCTGTGTCTATATCTGTTGCAAGAATCTATCTATATTATTTTATTAAATTGTTTTATCTGATGTAAAACATGTTTCAATTAAATAAGATTCATCACTGTCAGATTTTCTCTGTTTTCCTGCCAGTATCGCTATCTTCACCTACTATCCTGTAGAATTGATTTTTCTGCTTCAAAATTTTGCAAGATTCGAATATGTCTCACTTCAAGTACAAAAATATCTATCTAGTTTTAAGTTGACCTCACCCTTTAAGCAAAGGGTCTTTTGAATATGGGTCCATGGATTTTTTTATGGAAACATACCTACCTAATTCTTAATATCTATGATTTGGCATTGTTCGATATTTCACTTCTTTTTTTTCTTGCAATAGAATTGACTTGGCCAAGAAGCACATCGCCTTGAAGATCTTTGTCCCACAATTATCTGTCGCAGGCAAATATGATGTCAATGGCAAGCTATTACTTTTCCCAATCACCGGCAATGGACAGGCTAACATCACTCTGCGTAAGTATAGAAAAAACATATTGTCTAGGAGTATTCGAATACAATACTCTATCTTACTGATTTTGGTCCTGTTGTCTAGTTGACTTGAAAGCTGAGGCCGCCCTCGACTGGAAGCTTATCAAGAGGAAAGGAAGCGAATACGCTCACATCTCAAGGGACAGAGTAGACTTCACAGCATCAAGGCTTAAACTCTCCCTAACTGGCCTCTTCGGTGGAGACAAAGCACTCAGTTAGTAACTATTCATATAACTATATATATATACATACATATATTCGATAACTATCTATATTATAACTATATAACTAGGTATCCATATACATCTATTCATATTACTAATATACCAGTGGCTTCATATCATATAGATCGTACATTTTCATAATATTATTTCTGAAGTAGCGAATTACTTACGAAATATTTGTTCCACAGGTGACAACATGAACCAGATCCTCAACGATAACTGGAGGGAAGTCCTCGATGACCTGAAACCATCCATCTCTGGCACTGTCAGCGAGATCATCAAGTTCACCCTGAACAACATCTTCGACATGATCCCCTATGAACTCTTCTTCCCCGAAAAGTGAGGGGATCCTGATGGTGACTAGAGGATAACAAAACTTGCGACACCTGAGTCGTCGGTACTCACAGACAAAAGGACTTGTAGTCGGGCAGCTGAGGCCTTCGTCTAAGATGTTCCTGGCTGTGTCTGTACCCTGTGCTCGGCACCATCAATGATGGGCTTTAGAATTTTTTTTTTAAGATGTACCAAAATCACTCTCAACACTGTAAATTTGTCAACGAACAAATACCTCGGTATAATCTAGTCAAAATTGCATTCTGAACTCGTCAAAAGTGTTGTTATCCTCAACTTGTATTATAAAAGCTCTTTGTCAAAGATAGCAAACGAAGTTTGTGACTATTGTGATCTTACCTCTTTGGATTTTTTTATGGTCATTGACAAATTACATTATTTATTGTCAGTGACTGTAGTTCATAAATTGAAGAGGATTATTTATGTATTGGTTCTATTTGTAGTTGTACATGTGTTTGAAGATGTATATACATTGATAGATTAACGCTTGAATGTGTTATTAAATTTATTAAGTTTATAAGCGTTTAGTCATTAAAAACCTTATATTTATCACTCCTCAATTAAAAATTATAATTAAGACAAACACTTGGTATTACTTTAATACAAAAAAGAGTAATAATAAATAAAACACACACATAATGAACCTGTTCCTATATACAATACTACATCAAACTTTGGAGCTACTGTAAAGAAGAGAGGTGGTAAGGTGAATAAGCTGATACCTTTCCAATATGGAAAATATTTACAATAAGTAAAAAAAAAAAAAATCTAAGAAATTGATTAAGGACAGTTTGGATTAGTATTTCAATATGTTGAAACGCTGATCATTAACTAATACTAGCTTTTACAAAAATATATAACTGTAAAGGAGAAATGTAAATTACAAAGTATTTTTTAAGATTTTACTTACTAATACAGAATAAAGAGGTGTCCTGAGTCCCATTAATGGTTTCCATATAAAAAGATAGATATCCAATACCATTGATGATTTCAGCGCTGAGTTTAGAAGTTTGCCTTATATGGTATGAAATTTGGATATAATTTAATAGTAAATGGATATAATTGAATAGTAAATAAGCTATGCCCAGGTTTAATCCATGTCAAATTTGGATTAAATATGCATACCTCATAGGATAAATAAAGAGTACATGGTCAAGTGCATTTCATGATTAAATAACATCCCAAATTTTGGTAAACTCATCGCTAATTCCATTGACTAGTTGTCCCGTGCGAAAAATTTGCAGAAAATTATGTTTAGTGAAGAAATAGTAAAACAATATGGAAATAAGTTGTTCCTATGTATTATGTAAGGAAGGAATTAATATTTTTCCTGGATCGATTACAATATTCCATTAAATATAACAGACCAAAATATTTGTACAAACTGCTTTGATAGGACCTATTTTTAAACGCTGACTGGAAAGATAATAAAAGTAATACAGACAAAATACAATCCACAATCATGGGATATTCTAAATTATTAAAAAAACTAAAATGTAAGAACAACCAAATGACTTTAAGAAATAATAAAATTAATATATCAGCCTATTCTATTCCTAGTAGATTATTCTACTCCTAAATGCAATACTTTAAATCAGAAGACATTATTAAGTATACCAAAACTAATAGACTGTATCTTTGTTAATAATTGTCCGATTTTTACGATTTTTTGTTTTTGTTTTGTAGGTAATTTAGTATTTTTTTCTAATTATCATGGGTAAATCGAGAAAAAATGCATACTTTTAGAGTTATTCAAATAAAGTTTCTTTTCCTCCATAACTTTTTTTCCAGAAATTTCGGGGGGATGGGACTATTTTTAGCCTGTGAAGGAGAAGAATATCTTCAAAATGAGTGGTCAATCATTGGATTTGATGAAGAATTGACGAAGTAATGGAGTAACGAAAAAAAAACACCTTGTAGAAATAATATATAGGATTGATCACTTCATTGAATCTAGCGCCGATGGACAACGATTAATGCTGATTTTAGGAACTACCTGCTAGTTCCAACAGAAGAGAAATATACTTGGAAATCAACAAAGGTACCAAAAATAAAAAATATATAAAGAAATACATACCTAATAAATTGTTGAAAATAGAACTAAATCTACCACCTACTAAATCTAAATCTACTAAGTAACAACACTGAGGTTTTAATGAAGGTTTTCATCAAGAGTCTTCCGTATTCCGCTGCCATCGATCTCAGCTTTGTGATATGGAATTCGTCCTTAAAGTTGAAGAATAAAAGTATCAAAACTTATTTAATTATTATTGATTTTTTTTCGTTGGTAATTTTGTTATTGTTTTCTTAATAGTTATTTTATTATTATTTAGTGTCCTCTCAAAATAAATTATATCTATTAATTGAATTATATAATTATATCTATAATTGTATCTAATCTAAAATTAGATTGTATCTATATATTTTATCTAATATAAAATTTATAATTATATCTAATAGTTGAATCCACCATTTAATGAATTTTATTATTTGTATAAAATAATAAATTTATATTGCACAGTTTAACAACCTGTTTGCAATGAACCTTAGTTCTAGAAAGAATTTCAACTGAAAAGAATCCTAGTGATTAAGTTAATAATATTTTTATCTACTAAGGTATTTCAACTTTAGTTTCATTTTATATATTTATTCTGGTTACACTAAGTAATGATAATGTATAACTTTAAATCCTGACCAATTTGAATGTAATAGTTTTATAACTTAAATCATTGTTTAAATTAATTTGTAAAATTATTATAGTGGTATGAAATAAATTATACTGTGATTGCATATGTATTATTTTTGGTTATTCAATATCCAAAATATTCATAATTTTTTGTTTTATTATTACTTTTGGGGGTAATCTTGTAGCCATATATTCAAGAGGGCATAACCATGGTGACCATTTTTTTTCTTTGTAAAGATTTACAAGTAGATGAAAAATAGAAAGAAAATATTTTTTTAATTCCTTGTTTTACGATACTTGAGTACCCTTGAAAAGACCCTTGGAAAAATACCCTTGGTGGGATTTATTGGAATTTATTTTAATTCTCCAGTTGATCGCAAATTAACACAAAGAACAGAAATATTTTTATAAAAATTGTTATATATCAAACTATCAACAACAGTGTTGTTTATTCCACATGTAGTTTGTTATACAACAATTTACATGAGAATGTTGCTGTTCTTGGTTTTAATTGTGATTTTTGTCATTGAGAACTTTAATGTAAGTTTCGTCAACTATTCACTGTACTGTTTACTTTTCATTGATTTCATTCTACAATAGAGATTAACAGCTTAGATTAGTTTTTTAAGGTTGCTTTATCTCCTGTTGCCCTGTAATTTTCCACAAGACCTAATAACACCTTTTAACACAGTTTTATTAGTCAATTATTAGTAGGACTCAAATTTTAAGGATTTATCCTTTTTTTCTGTTTAAGGGAAACTGTGTTGCAGATCTTTACCAATCTTGAGTAGTAGATTTAAAATACTAAATCCTATAGGATCTTTCTTTTATCTATTTTGTATTAAATTAGATCTTTTTTGAAATTTTGCACTAAAACAAATCAATTTTGTAATTTTTCACAAAAATAAATCTATTCTCGGGTCTTCATTCAGAGTTTGATTCATCTGAATATATTCACAAATTATTATCTATGCATAACTGTGGGTTGATGGTTGAGTGTAGTGAATAATGAAGAGAAGGATGGTTGGGGTGGTCAGTCAAAATAAAAATGGTAAAAATAAATGATAATATTTATTTTAACATGACCCGAAGTTCATACCTTCATCAGGGCTGATAAAAGAACCAGATAACAATAGGTATGAGAAACATAAACAGTAGGTAAACAAATTTAAAGTAAAATGAAGTAGATAAGTGTTTATGTTTCTCATACCTATTGTTATCTGGTTCTTTTCTCAGTCCTGATGAAGGTCTGAATTTTGGGTCGAAAGGTCGGCAAATGTTAAAATAAATATTATTATTTATTTTTGCCATTTTTATTTTGACTGACCACACCAACCATCTATGCTTTTACACTTAACTAATTATCGAATTATATCGATTTAATATGTAAAAAAGGGTAAAACCTTATCCAAAGATTTGTCTATGAAACATTAATGAGTAATATAAGAAAAAAAAGAATAGAACGCCTGCATTGTGATTTGTCAGTTTGAGGAAGTCATCAATTTCCTACATAGATTCACAGAAAGATTTGCTGCGTTTCATTTTATTAGATTACCTAATTTAATGATTTGTTGTTAATAAGAATATACAAAAAAAGAACAATAATTTTGTTTACATTTTACAATAAATTAAAAAAGCTCCTTCCCATTACTAAAAATAATTTGGATTTAGTAGACAATGGTGGAATTCTTGTATTATTTTCAAGAACATATAAATATTCAGGCTAAGTTCCTAAATTCATCGATTGAATCAACGATGGCTCTGGGGTTCATTAGGCTTTTTGGATAGATAGATCCACTGGATGAAACCCCAATGTTGTTGTCTCAATTTACTTTACGCATTTATATTCAGTTTAATTTCTGTCTACATGAGCAATTTCTTAAACCCTTTAAAAGTCTCAAAACTAGTCGAAACAATGCCATCAATGAGCTCTTCACTGAGTTTAGGATTTATTTGTAACCTTCTTTATGTGTTTGAAATTCACTCATTCAGTATATATGTATTTCTTTATAAATGTGTTTAGTAACCTTCCAATAGAACTCATCAGGTTGGTCCCAAATCGTTCATAAATGGCTGTCCATCACTGCTGGATTGAATAACTTGACGGAATTAGCTCTGATTTTAGGGAATTATCTTAATTATTACATATATTAATTCTTAAAATTCTAATTTTTGTCAACATTATGGTTCAATGTTCATTTTAAACAATGTTAAAACTTCATAAATATTATCGTATACTATATAATATTTTAAATAAATGATGTAACATCTTTTTTAGATCTAAGAATTTATTTTTTACAAAACAACAAAGTTTGTGAAATGTAGGACTGCAGATACTTTGTTTACCCAACTAATATTAAATAGGACTACATTAGTTATGCAAAAATTACCAGACCACTGTGGACTTTATTATAAAGAATGGAGAAGTCAAAAAGAAGAGATCACAAATGAAGCAAAGTCATGATCTCTCAATTTTGAATCTGTTGACTCATCAATATTCGGAGATTGTGGAAGGGAAGAGGTGGGGTATGTTATTAGAGGAAGCAGACGTATTCCTCCTGAACTCCCTCGAAATCAAATGATTTCTTCCTTCTGAGCCACGATTACCAACAGAATTAGTTTCAGAATCACAAGTTATCTTTTGCAGCAATCTTGCCATATTTCCATCACTTGAGGACATAAAATCTCATTTTAAAGATGACAACTTATAACTCAATTATATTGGGCTGCAATGAAAATAATGGCACATCAAGCCAACTTAATCCTATAGTAAGGGAAAAAACTAATGAGACAATTAGTTATAGAACTTAAGGGGATGTGCAATTCATAT